GACAGCATAAATGTGATTTATTCAATTCATGCAGTCGGCAGCAGGCATGCGAATTACCTAGCGGTTTGTCGTATTTACTGTCGACACTGACTGAGTGCCCGTCTGGCAGCTCGAACATGGTAGCTGCTGCAGATAACGACGTCTACACTAGTCAAAAAACAACAATTTTACCTTGTGTGGCAGGGGACTAAACCTCAACTGCAGTCTGACACCAAAGCACCAAAATTTGCGTTATATAAGTTTCGGTAGTCCTTATATCCATATCTTTTGATATCAAAATCTCTGACTTCCTCATTACTCCTATTTATGCTGTTCCTCAGTCGGTGGGGTCAATCTGAGTCAATAGTTAATATGTATAAATATGAATATGTATAATGTGAAGCCGTGACACTGTCAGCTTTTGAAACCCAGTTCTTTTCGTCGTCATTCTGCTTCGTATCTGTTGATGTCACTAGCTGGTTCCGTCAGCTGAATTTTTCTGTAGCATGGCACTTTCCACCTGCTCTAAAGCATGGTGTGATTATTCCAAGTTGTGAACTGACATTTAATCCCTAGGATCAATACAGCAAATATGAGTACTGTGGCTCGTACATAACTATATTATTACTATATTACATAACTTTATTAATGTTTATGCATATTCGCCCGTACATTACCGGACGAGTCATTTCACGTGCTCCGTTCAGTGACTAAATACGAACGGTGATTCCAGACCTTCCCTTTAGGTACGCAGTTAATTGTCAAAGAGATCTACAACTGCATGTTTTATTTGATATTTCGAAGTCAACGGTAGATATGTTTAAAGCTTTCGTGACCTGAAATCCTGGGTTTACATTGCACTCGGCACACAACCCAGCAGTGTGCTGTTTGCATGCACACAACACAGAAGATGATAAGCAAAACGAGTAATAATGATTGACAGAAATAGTATGTCTTGCACACAAGATATGTTCATATCAGAGCATTAAACTATAAAGTTTACTTTTTAGTAACTCGCGTAGAAACCCAAGGATTTGTAAACGTTTCGTTGAACCTAATCAGCAAGGACATGAAGAAGCTTGGATATGACGTGTGCCGAAGCGCTTCGTTCAATTTGACTGCCAGTGCCTTACCACTGCCCTTGGTGCAACGCAGCGGTGAAGCTTCAAAGACCGAGAAGTCGACGGGCGAAGCGTTGGTCGTTCCAGGGTCCAGCAGCTCTCTGACCGAGACGAAAGCCACCAGTGATGCTGAACCGCAACTCTTGAAGGGTAGAGAAGACACCACTGACGTCTCCTTGTCTGAGAACTTAAACAAGCCGAAGGTGAGAAAGGTCTTGTGATCCCTGTGCGGACCGGAAGGAAGAAGAAAGCACACCGAAGCGAACCCTAAGGCTGTCGCGAGGAAACTGCCACTCTACATATGTACATTTATTCGTTTTCAATACGTCATAACGAGGACATGTTTTTAACGACACTCAGTCAGCCGTGGTTCGTGTCCCTGAAACCTCATGAGTATTATTTCAAATGACGTCAATAAAATTGTTCAACAACACGCCGTTAGGTACTTGCATTGCAGGTGATAAAACACCTTGCGAGTTGTGGCCTGTTGTTTGAGCGGTTCCCTAGGTTGCCAGAAGCAAGCGGGCGGTGCTGCCATGCCGTGTGAAATCCGAGGAATTGGCCGGAAATCGTTACGTGTTCACATAGGGATCTTACCGTCTAACCACCAGTTAACTGTCGAAATGAACAAAAGACTGGTGGAGAGAGTCACCGTCAGCACCTATCCTCATGGATAGAATGAAGAATGAAATTTTGCTTGTTATTTTATGGATAATTTAAAAACGCGTGTTGAATGCTGAAACATTATTAGAGAAACGCTTGTATGCTTTTTTCGTACGACACCCCGTCATATATTCTTTTGGGTCGACAC